AAATTGACAATAAACTTTTTTGAGTTTGACTCTTGATGTGCAGGAGTTTCAGGAGTGTCGTTGGTGGGATCCACACTGATGTGTTGTGACAGAGCTCTGAACGGGGAGCGACTTAGTGTGGGGAGTGGAGACTTTTAAAACACGTGAAGACGATGTTTTGGCAAATTTAAGATTTAGATTTTAGGACACGTGTCATGTGTTTCATATTCACACACAGCTGATGTTTCATGTCCGTGTGCAGAGACACATGAGGCTGTGTCAGATCTGTGGAGAGGCGAGCCGCTCACTAATGCACCTTTTTAAACAGATCTGTGAGTCAAACTTACAAATTGAATCAAATAAACGCTACAGGTTTGAGTCTCGGTGTAGATGTGACGGAGCTCGATGGACGATTCATGTGGGTCGATGTCAACGAAAACGTTTAACGATGCTGTGAGCCGAAGTTATTTTGGAAAACAGAGGGAGGGAAATATTAGTTTCTCAACAAACCAGACTCTGTGTAAATGTAGAATAAATCTCTTTTTTTTTTTTTACTAAAGCCTTTTGTTAATTGTATTTTATTCTTGTTTTATCTTATTAATTCCTGCAATGGTTTTAGTTTGATCCACTGTTTGCTGATGCACTTTTTTACTCATAGTTTTTACCTGTTGCACTTTGAGATTATTTTATGTAAAGTGCAATAGAAATAAAATGTATTATTATTATTATTATTATTTTCTAGACTCCATTTTGTGGCTCTTCCCCACTGTGACGTAGGCACTGGGCCCCACCGATATATCGGTTGGCCAATATTATCGGCCGATATGGGCACCTGGAGACATATCGACTCTCGGCCTAAATGTTGTCGATGTGGGCTGATGGTTCACGTGGGCAGGTTACACCTCGTTACATCATCAAGCTTAGACTCTGTTTACAGGCCAGTTTCACTGTTGACAAAAGCGCGTGTTGCATGATGGGAATTATTTTGGTCGGCGGCAAGAAACACTAATTGAACATGACGGACGGAGCGAGAAAACACGTAAAGGGTATTGATCCTGGTTATTTCTCCACTCTAACAGCAGACGACCCAAGAACATTTGACCACAAATTGGTCATAAACATCGACGGACGACAAATCTCCCTTTTCAACCCCGACAGAGTCTGGACCAAACCAAACTTCTGGACAAATATTCACTTGGGCGACATCCACAATGACTTGGTGAAACTCCTGGGCCATTCACAGCAGAAAAGATGAAAACCTCCAAGAGTCTGGATGTGTTGTTGAACTTGTTGAGTCCACGGTTTGTTAGGATCTTCTACGTTTGCTCTGCGGACGTTTGAAAGTCGTTTAATTCACCGTTAGTGGTTCTTTTCACTCAGAATATGAAAAAGACATTTTCCTTCTTCTGTGTTTCTATTTGTGCGTCTGATGATGCAGCAGGAATTTACCAATATCAGGAGAAATACAGGAGGTTAAACACTGTGTTTGACACGACCGTGTTTCTGCCTCCGACCAGAATATTTCCCAGCAGCAACGCAGACTTTTAATAACAATGACGTCAGCTCAAACTCGACTATATTATGTCAGTTTAATCGAATTTACAGACAGATAAATGTGCAAATATGTGAGAGGTGAATTTATACGTATATAATTCCTGCGGCGCACACACATTTACCGCTAAAGACTGAGAGCTGCAGTTGATTTACTTTGTTTACAGGTCAGAATGTCGGGGATGTGCCTTTGTTCCCTCATTTCCCTCAAGTTTTTTTTTTTTCTTTACAAAAGGAGGAGCTACGTTTCCATGTTTCCTTTATTGTCAGTTTACATCAGATTTTATCACATTTCTCCCAATTTGGTCGACAATTACATCAAAACTCTTCTCCAGCAGCAGCAGAGACTCCAGATGTGATGTACAGGTCATGGAGCAAATGTGGTTTAAAAACAAAAATGACTTGACTTAGAGTTTAATTTTGAGAAAAATCTTAGAGCTGAGAGAACATAGAGCTGTGAGAACATAGAGCTGTGAGAACATAGAGCTGTGAGAACATAGAGCTGTGAGAACATAGAGCTGTGAACATAGAGCTGTGGGAACATAGAGCTGTGAGAACATAGAGCTGTGAGAACATAGAGCTGTGAGAACATAGAGCTGTGAGAACATAGAGCTGTGAGAACATAGAGCTGTGAGAACATAGAGCTGTGAGAACATAGAGCTGTGAGAACATAGAGCTGTGAGAACATAGAGCTGTGAGAACATAGAGCTGTGAGAACATAGAGCTGTGAGAACATAGAGCTGTGGGAACATAGAGCTGTGAGAACATGTGAGAACATAGAGCTGTGAGAACATAGAGCTGTGAGAACATAGAGCTGTGAGAACATAGAGCGTGAGAACATAGAGCGTGAGAACATAGAGCCGTGAGAACATAGAGCGTGAGAACATAGAGCCGTGGAACATAGAGCCGTGGGAACATAGAGCTGTGAGAACATAGAGCTGTGAGAACATAGAGCTGTGAGAACATAGAGCTGTGAGAACATAGAGCTGTGAGAACATAGAGCTGACCCAGAATGTGATGCAAAAATGCCACTAGGTCGACCTACTGTTTTTAAATATGACGTAAAGAGACAGAATATCAGGAAATGTCGCCTAAAACAAACCCAACTTCAAATTGAATAGAGTCAAACCGAAGTTTTATCATCAGCTGAAGATTCACACTGAATTTTAACGTCATTAAACACTAGAGCCCGACCGATATATCGGCTGGCCGATATTATCGGCCAATATGGGCACCTGGAGACATATCGGCCGATATGCTCGCTGATATGGGCCGATATTTCACGTGGGCATGTGATACGTCGTTATAAAGCTTAGACTCTCTACATTATGTTCATTTAATCCAATTTACAGACAGATAAATGTCCTAATATGTGGCTCTGCGTCAGTATTTATCTGTGGTGTAATTTGTCTGTGTCCGTACTGTCCCTGAACACACCACAGAGTCACGTCACTTCACTCACGTGTGTTTGTTTACACCTGCAGACGTGCGCAACACTGACATTATTTTCTTTTTACGGACAATCGGTTTGAGTCTGGATTAAAAGGACATTTATTAGTTCAGACTTGTGATGTGGGAGGAGCCTGTGTGATGTGGGAGGAGCCTGTGTGAGCGGTGAGTGTTGGAAATACATCGACTTTGAAGCTAGTTTAGGTTTTGTTAGCGGTTAGCTGCTGTAGCTCCGCACATAAACAGGCTGTTTCTATTGGTCTATTGTAAAGTGTTTATATTGTCTGTATATTTGTCACTGGACCAGTATTGATCTGTAAATGAGCTGTGAATAGACGTGTGAATGATCCACATTTATGCATATAATTAATTACCGCGGTGCGCAGCATTTACGGCTAAAGGCTAATAGCGGTAGTTTATTTACTAGCAGGAGTTATGGGTCGCGATCGAAGCGGCTCTTAGATTCGGCTCTTTGAAGTGAACAACAGGAGCATGTTTCTTATTGGGAGCCGTGTTTTCTCTTTTTCTCACTTTTTCTCTTCATGTCGCATGTCGACCCGTAGTTTGACAGCAGCAGCGGCTGAAAACGAAACTTTCAGAAATCTGCGTTTGCATAGGATAAAAAAAAAAAGTGCATATTTGGCTGCAGTTCAGCATAAAATGAATAAACCAGGACTAAACTTGGGCTTGAGTGCAGGAGAGAGATAGAAACAGAGTCCAGACACTCAGTCCTGGTTCAGTTCTGGTTTAGTCCTGTTTTACACATGGTTTAAATCTGTTTTAGTCCTGGTTTAGTCCTTTTTCAGTCCTGGTTCAGTTCTGGTTTAGTCCTGCTTGCAACAAAACAATCTCAAGAGTCACTTGGGAGCTGAAAGAGCCAGTTGGTTTAGTGAGCCGAGCCAAAAGAGCTAGTTTTCAAAAAAAAAAAACTGGAATCCCCATCACTAGTGTCTAGAATGTGATGCAAAAATGCCATTAGGCCAAACTACTGTCTGTAAATATGATGTAAAGAGTCAAAATAACAATAAATGTTTCCTAAATAAACCCAATTTAAAATCCACCAGAGCCAAACCTAAGTTTTTTAAACAATTCAAGATTTACAGTGAATTTTTACATCACTAAATATATCGGCGATTATATCGGCAGCTCCAACTCCCATTATAATCGGTTTCATATCGGCCACAACAAAATCCATATCGGCTCTATTAAACACATCAACATGTCAATTAATTAACTGATGAAGACCAGTTAAGGCCTTTTAACTATATTTTTCCTCGTGCGATTTTTTAAAAACTTTTTCTACTTTTTTGGAGTTGCCTGGAATCTGTTGTGTTTAAGTTTTGATCCTTTTTCCAAGAGCGCCCCCTACCTGCTCCTACAGGAACATCTGCAGCAAACACACACATTTTTACACAGTTTTATCAGATCAAAAAACATCCAAATCTTTCAGGCTCTAGGTGTTTTTAATGGGCGGCGGCGGCGGTTCTGTTATCGAGGGGAGGGTGAGTTTGTGGTAAATAAAAAAAATAATAATAATAATCCATGTTTCTCTGTGTGTGTGTGTTTCTCTGTGTGTGTGTGTGTTTCTCTGTGTGTGTGTGTGTGTGTGTGTGTGTGTGTTTTTCTGTGTGTGTGTGTGTGTGTGTGTGTGTTTCTCCGTGTGTGTGTGTGTTCTCTGTGTGTGTGTGTGTGTTCTCTCTGTGTGTGTTTCTCTCTCTGTGTGTGTGTGTTTCTCTCTGTGTGTGTGTGTTTCTCTCCGTGTGGTGTGTGTGTGTGTGTGTGTGTTTCTCTCTCTGTGTGTGTGTTCTCCGTGTGTGTGTGTGTGTGTGTGTTCTCTCTCCGTGTGTGTGTGTGTGTGTGTGTTTCTCCGTGTGTGTGTGTGTTCTCTGTGTGTGTGTGTGTGTGTGTGTTTCTCTCTCCGTGTGTGTGTGTGTGTGTGTTTCTCCGTGTGTGTGTGTGTGTTCTCTGTGTGTGTGTGTGTGTGTGTGTGTGTTTCTCCGTGCGTGTGTGTGTGTGTTCAGTGTTTTCGGGCGAGCGTTGGCTGTGGTTCTGGGGATGACTGAACCAAACCCATGGGACATCAGGACCATGAGGAGACCGCCCACAGTCCCGCTCTGGACTCCGGTCCGGACTCCGGTCTGGACCTGGTCTACCTGCACCTGACGGGCCCCTCCCCCGCCGCCCCCCCCCCGACATGGAGGAGCGGGCGAGCGAGCCGCGGGACCAGGGGGAGGAGAGAGAGGACGGGTCTGAACCGGGACTCAACCAGGTCAAGTCCTCGCACCAGCCCCTGTGCAGGTCCCAGTGTGTGGACCTGGGACCAGAGGGACCCCCGGATCTGAACCAGGACCCGGACCTGAACCAGGACCCGGACCTGAACCAGGACCCTGATCTGAACCAGGACTCAAACAGGTACCAACCAGACCAACAGAAACCTTTAAATGTCCCATAATCCTGGTCTTGTGTTTTGTTTCATTCACATGTTTAACTCACAAACCCAAACATTTAACATGAGTTCTTCTCTCAAACACTCTGTTCCACCTTCTGATGTCATCATGTGGTGATACAGGAAGTGCTCCACCGTGTTTTTAAACTCCACACACCTTCACTAGAATCTAGTGTCATTAGTCGAGACCACTTTTTTACAGTCTTGGTCTCAGCTCGGACTCAAGCGCATTTGGACTCGGTCTTGTCCCAGTCTCGATGGAGCTTGGACTCGGTCTTCGATGGAGCTTGGACTCGGTCTTGATGGAGCTTGGACTCGGTCTCGATGGAGCTTGGACTCGGTCTTGTCTCGGTCTCGATGGAGCTTGGACTCGGTCTCGATGGAGCTTGGTCTCGGTCTTGTCTCGGTCTCGATGGATGGAGCTTGGACGTCTCTCGGTCGGTCTCGATGGAGCTTGGAGTCTTCGGTCTCGATGGAGCTTGTCTCGTCTCGTCTTGTCTCGGTCTCGATGGAGCTTGGTCTCTCGGTCTTGTCTCGGTCTCGATGGAATGGAGCTTGGTCTCGGTCTTGTCTCGGTCTCGATGGAGTCTTGGGTCTCGGTCTTGTCTCGGTCTCGATGGAGCTTGGTCTCGGTCTTGTCTCGGTCTCGATGGAGCTTGGACTTTAACTTCTTGGGTTCTTTTTAAAGACGATGCAGTAAAGTGTGTTTACTTGTTGACGTGTTTCTGCTGCTGCATCTTCAGATCTGTCCTGGTGTTGGTGGTGACGTGTCGTATATCAGCTGTTGTTACTTCCTGTGGGCGTGGTCAGACCTGATGGACCTGGCAGGTCGCTCAGACTGACCACGCCTCCCGTCGCCCGGTGTCTCTGGAGGAGGGTGTCCCAGGTGTGTGAAAGGAGGAAGGCTCCGTCATCACGGTTAATTCTGTCCGTGCCTCGTTTCCTGATTTCACCGTCCTCCTTGATCCAGCGTTTGAACTTGTTGTTTTCTGATCCAATGACCCGAGTCTCGTCCTGATCCATAATGTGGTTGTTCCTTTTACAGTGTCTGATGTGGAGGATTTTAGGTTTTCCTGTTCTGCTTTGTCTTTTTGTTCTGGTGAGTCTCCCTGACGTTTCCTTCTCGCATTCCTTTTGCTGTTCCTTTTTTCGGATGTGAAATGCTCGGCCTGTTTCCCCTGTGTGTGATTTATTGCATGATTTGCATTGAATTTCGTAGATGGTGTTGCATTTTTGTTCTGGTGGGATTTTGTCCTTGGGGTGTACGAGTTGTTGGTGGAGTTTTGTGTTTGGTTTGACTCCAGTGTTTATGTTGTGTTTTTTCATGTCTCTCTGGATGGTTCAGTTGTTCCTCTGATGTTCTGTAGTGTGACTATGTTCTTGTCCTGCTGCCCTGTGTTGGATTGTTGTGTTTTTTTCCGGGGTTTGTTGGTTTTATTGATAACTTGTTGTTTATGGTCCAGCTGGGATATTGACATTGTTTGAGTGTTTGTGTGACGTGTCTCTCCTCTTCCTCCCTGTGGGTCTGTGATGAGTGTGGCCCGTTCCAATAATGTTCTTACTACTACTTTAAAAAGAACCCAAGAAGTTAAAGTATATAAGAAGACAAAATGAACATCTTTTGCTTAATAAGGAGCTTGGACTTGGTCTTGTCTCGGTCTCGATGGAGCTTGGTTTGGTCTAAAATTAATAATAATAATAAATAAATAATATGAAAAAGTATTAATGAACCGATAGTTTGAATCACAAAAAAAAAAGGACAAACATTTATTATACTTTTCATTTTTTAAATTTAATTTCTTTATGTTTTGCTGAATAAATGTAATTTTGTTTTGTCTTGTGTTTTCCTCAGCGGAGACCTGGTCCCTCCAGATCCTCCGAGTTCCCCGGAGCCCGCGGGCCCGTCCCCGGCGCCCACAGCAGGGGGCAGCAGAGAGTTCCAGGCCAAACTGGACTTCGCTCTTAAACTGGGCTACGGCGAGGAGACGGTCCGCGCCGTCCTCACCAAACTCGGACCGCAGACGCTCATCAACGACGTGCTGGGGGAGCTGGTCAGACTCGGGACCAAACCGGAGCCCGACCAGGATCTGGGCTCCGGACCGGGCTCCGGACCGAGCTCCGGTCTCGGGTCCGGCCCGGGGTCTTCGTGCGGCTGCGCAGAGGACGGACGAGGAGACTCGCCGGCGCCGACCGAAAGCGACCAAGAAAATCTGAGACCGATTGTGGTCGACGGAAGCAACGTGGCCATGAGGTCAGACCTGGTTTAGTCCTGGTTTAGACCTGGTTTAGTCCTGGTTTAGACCTGGTTTAGATCTTGTGGACCTGTTGTTCTTCAGATCTTGTGATTCTGTTTTTCTAAAGCTCTTCTCTGTATTTTTCCGTAGTCATGGAAACAAGGAAGTGTTCTCGTGCCAGGGCATCCAGCTCGCTGTTGATTGGTTCCTGGAGCGAGGTCATCGTGACATCACCGTGTTTGTCCCGGCCTGGAGGAAGGAGCAGTCCCGCCCCGACGCGCCCATCACCGGTACCCAGAACCCAGAACCCAGAACCCTGAACCCAGAACTCTGAACCCTGAACCCTAGAACCCTAGAACCCAGAACCTAGAACCCAGAACCCTGAACCTAGAACCCAGAACCCTGAACCTAGAACAGAACCAGAACCCAGAACCTAGAACCCAGAACCTAGAACCTAGAACCCAGAACCTAGAACCCTGAACCTAGAACCAGAACCTAGAACCCAAACCTAGAACCTAGAACCCAGAACCTAGAACCCAGAACCCTGAACCTAGAACCCAGAACCCAGAACCTAGAACCCCAGAACCCTGAACCCTAGAACCAGAACCTAGAACCCTAGAACCTAGAACCTGAACCTAGAACTAGAACCCAGAACCTAGAACCCTAGAACCTAGAACCCTGAAACCTAGAACCCTAGAACCCAGAACCTAGAACCTAGAACCCAGAACCTGAACCCAGAACCCAGAACCCTGAACCTAGAACCCAGAACCTAGAAAGAACCCTGAACCTAGAACCCAGAACCCTGAACCTAGAACCCAGAACCTAGAACCTAGAACCCTGAACCTAGAACCCAGAACCTAGAACCCAGAACCTAGAACCCTGAACCTAGAACCCAGAACCCTAGAACCTAGAACCTAGAACCCTGAACCTAGAACCCAGAACCCTAGAACCCTGAACCTAGAACCCAGAACCCTGAACCTAGAACCAGAACCTAGAACCCTGAACCTAGAACCCAGAACCCTAAGAACCTAGAACCCTGAACCTAGAACCCAGAACCCTGAACCTAGAACCCAGAACCTAGAACCCTTAAACCCTGAAGTGTAATACCCTCTTTATTCCCCCGCAAAAGTGTAAAACTCGTGTGTTTAAACTCGCGTGTTTGTTTAAACTCGTGTGCGTGTGTTTGTTTAAACTCGTGTGTTTTGTGTTTGTTTAAACTCGTGTGTTTAAACTCGTGTGTTTGTTTAAACTCGCGTGTTTGTTTAAACTCGTGTGTTTGTTTAAACTCGTGTTTGTTTAAACTCGTGTGTTTAAACTCGTGTGTTTGTTTAAACTCGTGTGTTTGTTTAAACTCGTGTGTTTGTTTAAACTCGTGTGTTTGTTTAAACTCGTGTGTTTCAGATCAGGAGATCCTTCGTGTGCTGGAGAAGCAGAAGTTGTTGGTGTTCACTCCGTCTCGTCGGGTTCAGGGACGCCGCGTCGTCTGTTACGACGATCGCTTCATCGTGAAGTTGGCGTTCGAGTCGGACGGCGTCATCGTCTCCAACGACAACTACCGCGACCTCGCCAACGAGAAACCCGAGTGGAAACGCTTCATCGACGACAGACTCCTCATGTACAGCTTCGTCAACGACAAGTGAGTCCACAACTGGTCTAGACCTGGTTCAGTCCTGGTCTAGTCCTGGTCTAGACCTGGTTCAGTCCTGGTTCAGTCCTGGTCTAGTCCTGCCTCATATCTGCCAGCAGGGGGCGCTCACTGCACTGAAACTCCTCTGACACAACACACCTTCCGTAATATTCCACAGTTTGGTTTTAACTTTCTGTTACCAAGGAAACGTGCAGACGCCTCCGGACTCTTCCACACTGTAGATTGAAATATTTGATCAAATATATATTGAAATGTTTCATATCCAAGTCCATCTGAAACACGACAAGAGGAGGAGACATTTTGTGAAGTTTGACTTTGTCCAAATGTTTTTTCTTGAATCTAAATGAAAATAAAACATGTTTCAGGTTTATGCCTCCAGACGATCCTCTGGGACGACACGGACCGAGTCTCGACAACTTCCTCCGAAAACGTCCCGTCATCCCAGAGCAGAAGAAACAGCCCTGCCCCTACGGTGAGACCGGCTTTAGACCGGCTTTAGACCGGCTTTAGACCGGCTTTAGACCGGGATTAGATGGGGTTTAGAACAGGTTTAGTCCGGGTTTAGACCGGGTTTAGTCCTGGTCCTTGACTCTTGTCCTCGTTGCAGGTAAAAAGTGCACTTATGGACACAAGTGTAAATATTATCACCCGGAGCGAGGAGCTCAGCCTCAGAGATCCGTCGCCGATGAACTCAGAGCCAGCGCCAAAAACCCGACCAAGAACCAGAACAAGACCCAGTCCAAGGTCCAGACCAAGACCCAGACCAGGACCCAGACCGACCCGGGTCTGGTCAAGTCCCACAGCGTCCCGACGGCAGAGACCCAGAGGAGCGGAACCAAACGCCAATCTGACCCCAACGTGCGAGCCCTGTCCTACGGAGACGCCGAGGTCAGGCCCGGTTTAGTCCTGGTTTTGACCTGGTTTAGACCTGGTTTAGTCCTGGTTTAGTCCTGGTTTAGACCTGGTTTAGACCTGGTTTAGTCCTGGTTTAGACCTGGTTTAGACCTGGTTTAGTCCTGGTTTAGACCTGGTTTAGACCTGGTTTAGACCTGGTTTAGTCCTGGTTTAGTCCTGGTTTAGTTTACCTGGTTTAGACCGTGGTTTAGTCCTGGTTTAGACCTGGTTTAGACCTGGTTTAGTTTCCTGGTTTAGTCCTGGTTTAGTCCTGGTTTAGACCTGGTTTAGTCCTGGTTTAGACCTGGTTTAGACCTGGTTTAGAACCTGGTTTAGTCCTGGTTTAGTCCTGGTTTAGACCTGGTTTAGTCTGGTTTAGTCCTGGTTTAGACCTGGTTTAGACCTGGTTTAGACCTGGTTTTCCCTGGTTTAGACCTGGTTTAGTCCTGGTTTAGTCCTGGTTTAGTAGACCTGGTTTAGACCTGGTTTAGTCCTGGTTTAGACCTGGTTTAGACCTGGTTTAGACCTGGTTTAGTCCTGGTTTGGTTTAGACCTTTAGACCTGGTTTAGATCCTGGTTTAGACCTGGTTTAGACCTGGTTTAGACTGGTTTAGACCTGGTTTTCTGGTTTAGATCTGGTTTAGACCTGGTTTAGTTTCCTGGTTTAGACCTGGTTTACCTGGTTTCCTGGTTTAGTCCCTGGTTTAGACCTGGTTTATCTGGACCTGGTTTAGTCCTGGTTTAGACCTGTTTAGACCTGGTTTAGTCCTGGTTTAGACCTGGTTTAGACCTGGTTTAGACCTGGTTTAGTCCTGGTTTTGGTTTAGTCCTGGTTTAAGTCCTGGTTTAGACCTGGTTTAGTCCTGGTTTAGACCTGGTTTAGTCCTGGTTTTAGACCTGGTTTATTCCTGGTTTAGACCTGGTTTAGACCTGGTTTAGTCCTGGTTTAGACCTGGTTTAGACCTGGTTTAGTCCTGGTTTAATCTGGTTTAGACCTGGTTTAGACCTGGTTTAGTCCTGGTTTAGACCTGTTTATCCTGGTTTAGACTGGTTTACCTGGTTTAGTCCTGGTTTAGTCCTGGTTTACCTGTTTAGTCCTGGTTAGACCTGGTTTAGTCCTGGTTAGTCCTGGTTTAGTCCTGGTTTAGTCCTGGTTTAGACCTGGTTTAGTCCTGGTTTAGACCTGGTTTAGTCTGGTTTAGACCTGGTTTAGTCCTGGTTTAGATCCTGTTTATCCTGGTTTAGACCTGGTTTAGTCCTGGTTTAGTCCTGGTTTAGACCTGGTTTACCTGGTTTAGTCCTGTTTGTCCTGGTTAGTCCTGGTTTAGACCTGGTTTAACCTGGTTTAGTTTACCTGGTTTAGTCCTGTTTAGACCTGGTTTAGTCCTGTTTAGTCCTGTTTATCCTGGTTTACCTGGTTTAGTCCTGGTTTAGACCTGGTTTAGACCTGGTTTAGGTTTAGTCCTGTTAGTCTGGTTACCTGTTTACCTGGTTTAGTCCTGTTTACCTGGTTTAGTCCTGGTTTAGACCTGGTTTAGTCCTGGTTTACCTGGTTTTAGACCTGGTTTAGTCCTGGTTTAGACCTGGTTTATCCTGGTTTATCCTGGTTTAGATCTGGTTTAGACCTGGTTTAGTCCTGGTTTAGACCTGTTTAGTCCTGGTTTAGTCCTGGTTTAGTCCTGGTTTAGTCCTGGTTTAGACCTGGTTTAGACCTGGTTTAGACCTGGTTTAGTCCTGGTTTAGACCTGTTTAGTCCTGGTTTAGTCCTGGTTTAGACCTGGTTTAGTCCTGGTTTAGAGTCCTGGTTTAGACCTGGTTTAGTCCTGGTTTAGACCTGGTTTAGACCTGGTTTAGTCCTGGTTTTTCCTGGTTTAGACCTGGTTTAGTCCTGGTTTAGTCCTGGTTTAGTCCTGGTTTAGTCCTGGTTTAGTTTAGTCCTGGTTTAGTCCTGGTTTACCTGGTTTAGACCTGGTTTAGACCTGGTTTAGATCCTGGTTTACACCTGGTTTAGTCCTGGTTTAGACCTGGTTTACCTGGTTTAGACCTGGTTTAGTCCTGGTTTAGATCTGGTTTACACCTGTTTAGTCCTGGTTTAGACCTGGTTTAGACCTGGTTTAGACCTGGTTTAGTCCTGGTTTAGACCTGGTTTAGTCCTGTTTAGTTTAGTCCTGTTTAGTTTAGACCTGTTTAGTTTAGTCTGGTTTAGTCCTGGTTATCCTGGTTTAGTCCTGGTTTATCCTGGTTTACACCTGTTTAGTCCTGTTTAGATCTGGTTTACACCTGGTTAGTCCTGGTTTAGACCTGGTTTAGACCTGGTTTAGATCTGTGTATCTGTTCTGTTTCCAGGTTTATGTTGAGGATCGTTTGTTTCAGCCTCAGAGCAGAACCTTGTCCCCGGCTCCAGGTGGGCCCCCGACCGTCGCCCCCGTGCCCCAGGACGAGCCCCCGCCCCCTGACCCGCCGTACCCCCACTGCCCCTCGCCCGACTACTACAGCGTCACCCGGGCCTTCGCCAGCCTCTCCGTCGCCTCCAGACCCAACCCGGACTACAGACCGGACCTCAGACCGGACCTCAGACCGGACCTCAGACCGGACCTCAGACCTCAGACCTGACCTCAGACCGACCTCAGACCGGACCTCAGACCTGACCTCAGACCGGACCTCAGACCGGACCTCAGACCGGACCTCAGACCGGACCTCAGACCGGACCTCAGACCAGACCTCAGACCGGACCTCAGACCAGACCTCAGACCGGACCTCAGACCGGACCTCAGACCGGACCTCAGACCGGTCCAGGACCAGGACTACAGGCTGGGGTCTCTCGGGTCTATGGGCTCCGCCGGGTCTGAATGTGGCAGCGAAAGCAGCAGCTGCGACTCGTGTCCGACCGAATCTTCCATGGACGATTTCCACTACCCGCCCTCGCGGATGTACCCGCCCCCGCCCGACTACTGCGCCCACGCCCACCTCGAGTACCCGCACCTGCCCCCTGCCCACCTGTCTCACCTGTCGCACCTGGACGCCCTGCCCAAGCGCCCGCTGTACCCCCTGCCCCCCCACCTGCACCACCGGCCGCTCTCCGCCCGCTCCAGCTGCCCGGGCGACTACCTCCACGCCCCCGCGCCCTCCGTGCCCGCGCCCCGCTCCCCCCTCGCCCCGCGCCCGCCCCGAGAGCAGCTCCGACCCGCACCTGTACCCCCACCCCCACCCGCGCCCCAAGACCCTGCCGCACTGGGACACGTGTTACCGCCCCCCGCTGGCGTCGGCGCGCTACGACTCGTCCTGTTACTGGGAGAGTTACGGCTCGCGCTTCCACCCGCCGCCGCACGCCGCCGCCGCCGCCGCCACCCACCCGTACCCGGAGCAGAGCGCCGTCCTGGGCCGCACGGGCCGCTCCCTGCCCCCCTACCCCCCGCCAGGCCCTGTCGCCCGGTTTGAGGAGGCGCGGTACGAGGAGGCGCGGTACGAGGACGGGCGGTACGAGGAGGCGCGGTACGAGGAGGCGCGGTACGAGGACGCGCGGTACGAGGACGCGCGGTACGAGGACGGGCGGTACCCTCGTGACGCCCGCTACGCCGACGCCCGGGACAAGACTTACATAAACCTGTGTAATATTTTCCCGTCGGAGCTGGTGCGGCGGGTGATGTCGCGCTCGCCGCACGTCACAGACCCACAGACGCTCGCCGCCGCCATCCTGGCAGAAAAGACTCAGAGCGGATTCTGATCGATTCTGATCGATTCTGATCGATTCTGAACGATTCTGAACGATTCTGATCGATTCTGAACGATTCTGAACGATTCTGAACGATTCTGATCGATTCTGATCGATTCTGATCGATTCTGATTCTGCCACAGTCACACACGAGTCTTTAGACTTTGGGCTGAAACTGCAAAGGCTCATGGGAAAAACTGAACATGTACATGAACTAAAGCTGCACTCTGTAACTTTTCTGTACCAGCTTGTCTCCATGGAGATGTGACTCCTGTGCCTGGAATGTTCCACACTGTGGCATTACATGTTTGCATGTCTACAGCTGTGTTCACTTCCACACAACAGGCTCGCCTCTCCACAGATCTGATCTGTCACATGGTCACATGTCTCCAGAAAGATAAACAGGTTTAATGCCGCACTGTGGAACATCCTCCACAACAACAATCCCGTCTCCACGGTGACAAGAAAAAGAACAACTGAAGACAGAGATTCTCCTGTGACTCTGGCCCAAGTACAAATACAAGTACATGTGTGTGTATCTGTACTCGAGTACATGTGTCTGTATTCGAGTACATGCGTCTGTACTCGAGTACATGTATCTGTACTCGAGTACATGCGTCTGTACTCGAGTACATGTGTCTGTACTCGAGTACATGTATCTGTACTCGAGTGCATGTGTCTGTATTCGAGTACATGCGTCTGTACTCGAGTACATGTATCTGTACAGATACATGAATTCGAGTACAGACGCATGTACTCGAGTACATGTGTCTGTACTCGAGTACATGCGTCTGTACTCGAGTACATGTATCTGTACTCATGTTTAGAGTTTTTGCAGTTGTTCTTCTTGTTTCTGGGCAGTTTGTGTCGAGTCTCTGGAGGTTGGACTGTGTGAACCTTAGTTTAATAAGGCTCGTCTCTCCTCCCTCTTTCTCTTCCCTCTCTTCTTTTTGTCTTCTTTCTCTCCCTCTCTTTCCCTCCTCTTCCTCCTCCTCTTCTTCTTCCTCTCTTCTTCTTCTTCTTCTTCTTCTTCTTCTTCTTCTTCTGTCTCGTTCGAGATCTCAGTAAACTCTGGGTCTCCAGATCTTTGATACAAATTGTATCTTGAATCGTGTAAAAATGTCCTGGACGTGTTTAAACTTCACTTTTTGCTGTAAAAGTTTTTGGTTGAAACATGTTTGAGTTTTGGTGAAGTTTTGGTGAAGTTTTGGTGAAGTGGAGACGTGTGTTTCTCCTGAAGCTGAAGCGTTTTAAGGAGCTTTTATATTTCGTTTAACTTTGTATTAAATTAATGCTTTTGATACCGAGCGGGACGTGAGCTGTGATTGGTCAGCTCTGTGCTCCTGAGCCGGCGGACATTTTGGATCTGCAGTTTCAGCCTCCTCTTATTGGCTGCACCGAAACAGAGCAAAGGATCATGGTCTTTGTAGTCTCCTGTGTGTCTCACGCTCTTTAGATCCAAAATGGCCGCCTGTGTTGTGGGGTTTCATTGTTCTGAAGGACTTTAAAGCTGCACTCTGAAACCTCTCAGCACACACTCTCTCTCTCTCTCTCTCTCTCTGTGTTGCTCCGCCTGAAGCAGCAGGTGGCGCTGTGTTCTCCTGTCGCCGTGGAGACGCCCGTGCGTTCTCCCGTCGCCGTGGAGACGCCCGTGCGTTCTCCCGTCGCCGTGGAGACGCCCGTGCGTTCTCCCGTCGCCGTGGAGACGCCCGTGCGTTCTCCCGTCGCCGTGGAGACGCCCGTGCGTTCTCCCGTCGCCGTGGAGACGTCTGAATCTGCCTTCGCTCGCCCCGACGACACCGTGTGCCGCGCGGCGCCGAGCGTGGGCCCCAAGTACGCCCCAGGGCCACTTCTGAACCGTGTTCAGACAAATACTTCTAGTACTACTGATACTGACTACTACTACTACTACTACTACTACTACTACTACTACTACTACTACTACTACTACTACTACTACTACTACTACTACTACTACTACTACTACTACTACTACTACTACTATTATTACTACTACTACAACTTATACTAGTACTGATACTTCTTCTACTACTACTGCTACTACTTCTACTGATAATACTAGTACTACTGCTTCTACTACTACTACTACTACTACTACAACTAGTACTATTACTACTACTTCTACTACTACTGATACTGACTACTACTACTACTACTACTACTACTACTACTACTACTATTATTACTACTACTACCACTTATACTAGTACTGATACTTCTTCTACTACTACTGCTACTACTTCTACTACTACTACTACTACTACTACTACTATTACTACTACTTCTACTACTACTGATACTGATACTACAATTATAGCTACTACTACTACTACTACTACTAATATGGCTACTGCTACTGCTACTATTACTATGATTACTACTACTAAATAAATAAATAAATAAACTAAAAATAAATCGTCCTGATAGTACTACTACTACTACTACTACTACTACTACTACTACTACTACTACTACTATACTGATACTGATCCTGCAGTGTGTTGATGCTTCTCTGTAATACTAATACTGTAGTACTCTGAGTGTAAATACTGCATGAGCCGTTTGTTTGTTGTGACTTTATCTCTGTGTAACTCTGCTCTAATGTGAGGAAATGTTCCACACTGTGGCTTTACTGCAGCTCCTGTTTGTGTTTTGATTATTTAATTAAAAGTTTGTGAAATTTTGTTGCGAAGCCGAAAATCAAATGTAAAAAATGTGTTTGAATTTGTGTTTTTCTACGAACAGCAGAGTCCAGAGACCAGGACTAAACCAGGACTAAACCAGGACTGAACCAGGACTAAAAAGGACTGAACCGGACTGAACCAGGACTAAACCAGGACTGAACCAGGACAACCAGGACTAAACCAGGACTAAACGGAAACAGGGATTAAACCAGGACTGAACCAGGACTGAACCAGGACTAAACCGGACTGAACCAGGACTGAAAGGACTGAACCAGGACTAGGACTGAAAGACCAGGACTGACTGAACCAGGACTAAAACCAGGACTAACCAGGACTGACTGAACAGGACTAAACCAGGACTAAACCTGAACCAGGACTGAACCAGGACTAAACCAGGAACCCTGACTGAACCAGGACTGAACCAGGACTAAACCAGGACTGAACCAGGACTGAAACCAGGACTGAACCAGGACTAACCAGGACTGAACCAGGACTAAACCAGGACTGAACCAGGACTGAACCTGAAGGACTAAACCGGGACTAAACAGGACTGAACCAGGACTACTGAACAGGACTGAACCGGGACTGAACCGGGACTGAACCGGACGGAACGGACTGAACCGGGACTAACCACCGGGACTAAACCGGGACTGAACGGGACTGAACCGGGACTAAACCGGGACTAAACCGGGACTAAACCGGGACTGACGAACCGGACTAAACCGGGACTAAACCAGGGACTAAACCAGACTAACCGGGACTGAACCGGGACTAAACCGGGACTAAACCGGGACTAAACCGACTGAACCGGGACTAAACCAGGACTAAACCGGGACTGAACCAGGACTAAACCGGACTGAACCGGACTAAACCGGGACTAAA